ATCATACAATGGGCTATTTAATTTCAGTCTGAATTTATCAAATAAAAATAATACTTGATTTCAAACTGAAACGTGAGTCTAGGAGTGAGGGGGGGAGTGACTGAGGGTGTGGGTGTTGGTCTGGGACCCACACACACACCCACACCCATGGTGCGGGTGTGGGCGCGCGAGTGAGGGTGAGGGTGTGCTTGTGGCTTTGTGTACTATAGGCTTTAGTCCCCTGCACAAGGGACTAAGCGGGGACTAAGCTTTTTGTGGGGGGGTTTAAGGGGGACTTTGCAGGACTAGGGGGGACTAAGGGTTTTTAGTGAGACTACGTAGTATCAAGCGAGAAAAGTTTGATTCGGAAGAAATTGGTGTGGTTTTTTTGATTTTGGAATTCAGTTTGAAATAACAAAGCCCATAGACTCCGGGATCAAACACACCTCGATAGTTAGAAAAGGCAAGGTTTATTATCCAGTCAGGCTTTGAAAAGGCTCGATAAATAAATTTTAGTATAATGCTTTTCTTTTTGGAACACAAACAGTTACCTATTCCAGTCTTTCATGGATCGATACACGCACAATTAGACTATCTGTTCATTATGTTTGGATCGACAAAGCGTATTATTCTTATTTTAGATTCAGTTCATCTTCAAAACTCATGCTGTATTCAATACATGAGAAGAACTGAAGACTTCTATCGACATTTCAAAAAGAGACAGCAAAGTCCTGACTAAATATTAGTAAAATCTTAGCTCTTTAACTCATATCATTTTCAGGTTACGCAAATAGTATCCTCTCCTATTCGTCTCTAAAATGAACATTAGTTATTCTGAAACTTATTAACAACAAACGTCATTTCATACAGGAGCAAAGGACTGCAACCCAATTGAGCGTTCATAAAAGTCGTTTATGATCTAATAGAATTTCATCAGTCAAAATGACCGATAAACAGCAATCATAAGTTTAGTCCTCACTTTCTTTTCTAACTTACCATTAAGTGCTATATTCGAACGAAACCTATGAAATTCGCGTGGGTGAAAGTTTTTAAGAATCGCTACAAACCAGGGTCTGTTGAAGGCGTTATCGAATATCTTTAATTTATTATGAAGAAATCATTAATTTTCTGATTTTACACTGACATTGTATTGTATTCCTATAAATCCTATCGGATCCTTTTGGATTCTTTCGGATCCTACGGATCCATTTGGATCCTTCTGGATCCTGTGGATCCTTTTGGATCCTACAGGATCCCGTGGATCCTGTCGGATTCTTTTGGATCCTAGGATCCGAAAGGATCTGCTTTTCCCCCCTTGCTGTATACTCAACCGTGCTATTCCTATTTTTAATCCCTTAATTCTATAATTGACCCCCGCCCCCTATTCGTATCCTTAACAGCTTATTTGTACCCTTGAATCGTTAATTCTATGCCTAACCCTTATTCGTATTCTGACCCCCTTAATGTTATACCTAACTGCTTTAATCTATACTTAACTCCCTATTCCTATCCTTAACCCCTTATTTGTACCCTTATCCCCCTTAATTCTACACATAATCCCTATTCCTATCTTTAATCCAGTATTTCTTACCTAACCCTTATTAATATCCTCAATTCTATACCTAACCCTTATTCCTATTCTAAACACCTTATCTCTATCTCTAACTCTTAATTCTGCACCCAACCCTTATTCCCATTCTTAACTCTTGTTCCTTACCTAACCACTTATTCCTATCCTTATCTCTATACATAATCCTTATTCTTATTCTAATCTCTTAATTCTATAACTAACTCCTTAATTTTATACTTAACCCCCTATTTCTATCCTTAACCGCTCAATAGGCGTGTTGCATGAGAAAGTTGGTATAGGTTATCTTGATAACCGGCGAACACATTGAGCTGTCTCTTGGTTTGTAAGGGTTTCTCGACCTGCTCTTTCTTTTTGTCTCTAGAAAGTTTTCTCCAAAACGCTCGCAAGTTAGGTTTCCAGAAAACCGCGGTTTTTCAGCTATAGGTGTTGAAAAAACTGAATTTTTATTAAAATCTAGAGTTTGAAGAAACTTTCTAATTCGATATTCAGATTCAGCGCTAAAAGACGAACATTTTGAAAAAAAAATTGAGTCTTTAAAACAAAATTTTAGTTTTGATATGGAATGCCCAATTTTTGGAAGTTGCATTTTTTTTTCGTGTCAAATAACTCAACACAGGATGATGATACAAAGCTGATTCAAGTGTCATTTGATAGAGAATTGAAAGCTGAACAAACGTAGGGGTTAACCCCTACGTTTGTTCAGCTTT